TTGCATTCCAGTCACCCATTATTATCAATGCATCTTGATTGCATGTTCGATCAATCTCCGGTTGTAAAAGCTGGTAAAAATCTTCTATCTCCTTTTCCTTGGCTCTGGTTGTTGGTGCATATATTTGAATGATAGTGGTATTCACTGGACTTCCTTGTATGCATATAGATATTATCAAATCCCTATACACATCCTAAAACTTCTCCAACAGGGTAAAAAGGGAAGCCATAGACTGGGGAAAAATATTTGGTAATGAAATACCTGATAAGGGACTTATATATAGAATTTATAGAATATTCAAGCGCCATAAGATAAAGGTAAACAACCCAATTGCAAAATGGGCACAGGATATGAACAGACACTTCATCAAAGAAGACATTCACATGGCAAACAAATACATGAAGAAATGTTCAAAATCCCTAGTTCTAAGAGAGATGCAAATCAAAACAACTATGAGATATATTCTCACCCCAGTAAGATTAGCAAAATTTAATATAAAAGCAAACAATAAATGCTAGCGAGGTTGTAGAGAAATTGAAACCCTTATTTACTGTTGGTGGGAGTGTAAAAGTGTGCAATCACTATGGAGGACAGTATGTCACTTTCTCAAAAAGTTGCAAATAGAAATACCATAGCAATGTCACTACTGGAAATATATCCGGAAGAAAGCAGAACTGCCACCCAAATAGATATATGCACACCCATATTTATTGCTGCTTTGTTCACAATAGCAAAGAGATGGAAAAAACCCACGTGCTCATCAAATGAATGGTTAAAGAAGCTGTGGTATATTCACACAATGGAATACTATGCTACATTGAAAACTCAGGAAGTACTATACAAAATGGTGACCCTGGAGGACATTATGCTGAGTGAAATATCTCAGTCACAAAGGGAAAAATACTACCTAATGCCACTGTTATAAAACATACAGGGATTAGGGAGAAACTAAGAAAAGGGGATAAATAATGTACATGGCATTGAAACAGATGAGGAAGGGAATTGTATAAAAGGACTATATGATTAGGTATTATTGGCGTGAAAAATGTCCAGAATAAGAGCTGCATAGTAAAGTGGTCTGGGGTAGTTGGTACTCTGTCATAATGAAAGAACTTTTTTTCCCCAAAGAAAAAAGTGAGCTGAGGGGAGGGAGTTTGGGGAGGAAAATGTACAACAGTAAAAAAAAAAAGGAAAAGAAGAAAAGCTGTACTGGGCAAATGTTGGCCATGGGTGGATCTTAGAAACACGCATCTTAATAGGGCTTATGTATAGATAATTTTACTATTTTTCATGTTATAAATCAAAGAGGACTTTTCCAAAAAGAGATGTGTAATCAAAAAAAGTAAGCTGAGTAAGGTCTAATTGTAAAAAGAAACAAGAATGGTGATACCTAAGGTGAGTTGTCAAGAAAAGCCAGTCATTGGAAAAAGACATCATATTGAGAACAATAGAGAGTCAGGGAAAGAGAGTTGAAGATTATGAGCTTGGCGCAGGTTAGGGCAAGGTTCAGAACTTTTGTACATCATAGAGTTGCTATGAATTGTCATCTACTTGGTGGCACCTAGCAACAACAACTACAGCATGTATGAATGTATGGGAATAAACTTGGTAGAAATGGATTTGGGTTTTGGATTTTGCATATATTTTCCATTAATATGTATTATTGTTGTTCATTGCCTTCAATTTGAGCACAACTCATAGCGACCCTATGAACAAAAGGCCTGAAGCCGCTCTACAGCTATCGACATTTATCAAAGTTCATAGAGTTTCTGGACTCATGTTATTTAGGAAGTGTATGTCACTCTTGCTTCCAATATGTATTAATATATTAAAATAGTGCTTTTTTTAGAAAATTAGCAAAATAACTTAAATGTTTAACACCCCTCGTATTTATATTCTTATTTTACATATTAAAATTGTTCTTTCTATAGATAGTGTCTTTTATGTATCAAGAATACCAAAAAGGGTTAGAGAATAAAAAAAGAGAAGTAACTTTCAATTTTATAGTAGTCTGAATTATAATTTTTATTTATCAGAATAATTCTTTAATGTATAAATAATAATTTTAAAATTATTTGAGGCCTTTAATGTTGTTTTGAAAATATTGTAACAGCATGTGTAAAAAAATCTCTTAGAATTGACTTGTTTTCCATGACATTTAAATTTTTTTATCTTTGTAGGAAGAATGCAGCTATGAAATGAAAATTAAGTCTTATTTACAAATGGAAGATGTTAATACAACATTTAATGGTTCCAAGATTGCTGGCAACTATACAAGTGATAAAAAATCTTTGTCTACAGAGGGTGCAAATAAAGGCAGTTCATTCTTAGTTACAGACTATGATGAAAAATATACTGAAGATTTTAAACAGTCTTGTATTAAATCCTCTAAAATTGTTTTTCAGAAAAACAAAGCTTCTGAAGAAATTATGAAAGATCAGCTTGATAAAGATCACAATGATAATGCTATTGATTTTTTATATACTGAAGGAAATTCTAATGCTGAAAATACTTTTCAGGCAGACTTACCATGTGATAAAATGGCATCAGATACAGATGAAGTTGTTGCATGCACTATCAAGGAAAATGTTGTTAATCAGCCATATGTATTAAAAGACTGTCAATTAAAATGTAGTTCATTTGCTGGAAATTTTTTGGATTCTGGCTATATTAGTTTCAGTGATGAAAAATCTGTTGAGGAAGATACTTGTTTAGGTAGAAGAACAAGTGATCAATTTTATGATTGTCACTCTTTGACAAAAGAGGTACTGGCTAATGTAGAGCAATTTTTATCTTATTCTCCTCCACCTCTTTCTGAACTCTCAAACTTGGAATATGAAATCACAAAGAATTCTACACTCAATTCTGTTTTCCTACCATACACAGAGCATTATCAAAATGATAAATCCACCAATTTAATGCTGTCTTCATCTGAGAATTCTCAACAGAATTTGAAGTTGAATTCACTAAAGTTAACCTCTTTTCATATTAATCACCATTCTCAAAAAAATTGTCTTTATGGTGCAAGTAATGATACAATTTGTAATGAGTCAAATGATAAAAACTATGATGATAAACTACACAAAGATACTAAAGATGAAAATTTAGTACCTAACAATAGTGTTCAAATAAGCTTTGACCCTTTAAGAAATTTAGTTAAAGAAAAGAATCCTGATGTTGACAACAGTGAACTCCCAAAATGTTCTGATCAGGATGAGAGCTTACTATTATTTGATGATGTTAATCCTGAATTTAATGATGTGATTCTGTCTCCCTTAAATAATAAACACAAACCTTTATGTGGGTCAGACAAAACTGCTTTAAGTGAAATGCCAGTCATCACTCACTTCTTGATTTCTGATGAACTTTTATTAAACAATGATTCTGAATCCCAAGATCAAATAATCTGTGATGATGATAATTGGAAATTTCATGAAAGCTTGAGAGTTGAACATGAAGAAAAACTGAAGAATGTTGAACATGTTTTTGACTTCTCGAAAGATTTATTCTCAGTTACCTTTGATTTAGGATTTTGTAGTCAAGATTCTGATGATGAAGTGTTCGAATTTTCATCAGATAAAAATAAGAACAAACTTGTAAATGATCTCCCTGGAAGCTATATAGATAACAAAGAGACAAATGATGCAAATTATGTGTCAAATCAAGCATTACTACTTGAAGATAATAGTGAAAGTTTCATGAATAGATCCACTACTATTCTATCAAGTGAAGAAAAGCATAATTCAAATATAGCACTTTTGCCAATAGATACAGCAAAAATTAAGGAAGTGACATCTCTTGGTTATTCTCAGTTTTATTTTCCAGTAGGAGAGAAAGCTATGAGTACACCACTTTCTAAATCAAATGCAGTGAGCTCATTTTCCAAGGTAGGAGAGGATATGCCCAAGACACCAAGCTCTACTAAAAAAAAAGTAAGACTACAAAGTTTAAATAAAGCGCTGAATTCAAGCTTTGGTTCAGAACCATCTCCAGTGAAAGAGAAAAGCTGTGAAAAAGTCAATTTACATGCATCCTGTCATTTTGTTGAAGGTAAGATCTCATTTTTATAAGACAAGCATGTTTCTAGGATATTTACTTCAGAAAAACTTAATAGCCTATTATACTATACAATGAGTCATTGTGTATTCAACTAGATAATGGGTGTATTATGTTTTTCTTACAGTGATGTTTCTAAGTTTTCTTTTTAACTTCCTTGTATATTGTATGTAACTATGGATAGGTTGTTATATTAGATACTGAAGTATTTTGAAGGTACAAGATTTGGCCCTACACCTTGATTGTAATACACAAACAATGCACCCTTCTGTGGATGATATATGTTTGTGTGTGTGTTTACATATAGTGAAACCTATGAGAGTTGGAAATTGAGACTATCTTGGAAGTTTTTACCAGAGACTGATAGCAGGCTTTTTTTTTTTTAAGGGAAAAGGTAAAGATAGATTCATGATAAAGATAGGTCTCAAAAGATGAGCTAGATCTTTCTCCTGGGAAAGGAAATCATGGAGGAGGCAGCATGTCACTGAGGTGAAGTCAGATTTGTGACTTCCTTTGCTGAGAATATCCTGGGACTGGAGTCTGAGCCAATGAAACATAGTTATGGAGAGTTCAAAGTTTAGTCTTTCTCTGACATCATTCTGTTTTCTCAGCATGATGCTTTTTCCCAAGGACTGGGGGCTCCTAACAAAGCATGTGAGTGAAATCATTACCATCTTACCTTTAAGCACTACATTGTGGTTGCACTTCCTCTAAGATATGTTTGATCTTTTTTTATTTATTTTTTTAAA